ATTAGAAATTTTGAGAACCCGCTACCATATGGATATTTTAGGAGTGGAAATCTAGAAAAGTAATCAGAAGGGAAAGGAAAGCTAGCTTTTTAGGCATTTGAATTATCAAATGGTCTATTCTTCTTGGCAGTTTCTCCAACCAAGTTAATGCCGATTGTAATGCATGGCGTACCCTTGCAAGGTTGAGAGAGTGATCATGACTCATGGGCAATTTATTATTTAATGTTTAAGATTTCGGGTTGTAACCAGCTTCATTGGCGTAAAGTACAGACGCTAACATTTTTCTCCGACAGTGAGGAGGATCTATTGCCTGGGCAGCTCTCAGAAAATTAGGGGGTAATTTGCCACTGTTTGCCTGTTTTGACGGGTGTTTACAGTTCAGATTAGATCAACAAGCAAATTGAATATTTGCACCGAAGAAAAGTACAAAAAAAACTCAGACATGCGATTGGCTCTTAGGAACGTCAGAACAGTGTGCTCTTGCCTTGTGAATGAATTCGACAAATTGACAGTTCACGAAAAATAATTTAAAGAAGTTGTCCATTGATATTGCTGCTCTCAAAAAATTGAAAATTTCAATCATCGCTGGTTTTTGGTAAGAAAGATAACGAAAATAAGGACTGGTATGAAGTTAATCTGCCTGAAATAGAAGCAGCTACCAAAAATAAAAGTGAAGTTTTCTGGTCTACAAAAAAATCTTACTCAAAAAGCCTCCTGGCTCTAAGAGCAAAAAATTGCAAAACAATGCGAATATAACATATTTTGGTGTTATACCAAGTTATCAGTTTTGTGTCGATTTAAGTAATATAAAAGGAGTGTATAATGACATGCGAAAAGCCCTTGAATTTCTCAGCAGATAACGAAAAATGTTCATTCTTTAGATAGTGAAAAATGCTCTTAAATTTTCAGACTCGCGCAATTAATCTAATATAATGTTATCGATTTTTTTGTCACGTAAACCTTAATATAAAAATCGGTATAGAGGTTGTGTTAGTGTTAGAAAAGGAAATTTCTAAAGAAACTAATGCATCAATAATAAGGTAACCAGACAAGAAAATAATGATTTAAAAAATATTTGAAAAGATTTATTTTTGAGCCAAAAAAAATATTGTTATATTAGTGATATTTTAAAATAAACTAATAGACCAATAACTTAGCACCAAGGAAACAAGACAAAAAACTATGATTTTAAAAGATTTATTTGTGAGCCAAATGAAAAATAACGATTTAAAACTCCTTAAAAAGAGCCAAGTGAAAAATAATGATTGAAAAAATATTTAAAAAGATTTAATTCTGGGACAAGTAAAAACTAATGATTTAAAAAATATTATAATAAATATTTATCAAATGTGAAAATTGTAAAACCGGATAAGAAGATAAATTTATCAGAGTTTTAATGAAATATACTAACGAATTTGACATGTAAGATAAGCCATGAATTAAGAAGGCGTGATTTCGAACCAGGTGAAATCGTATAAATAAAATGAGGCACAACTTATCGTAACACATTGCCCATAGAACATACACATAAAACATTAAACCCACGAGGCATTAAAACACAGAACATAACACATTACATTATTTTTACATTTGTTAGTTTTATTAAAATTGCTTATTTTAAATACTAGTTATTTGTTTTATAGAAAGGTAATATCAAAATAGGTGAGCTGTCTCACACATAGCTCTTTATAATTTAACAATAATTTCAGTTATAGTTATTTTTTATAATTATTCAACACACGTAATTCCCTAATATAAAATATGTTAATGTAACAATCAACCAATAACCATTCTCATCATCGATATAACAATTATAAAAGATTAAAGGCAATAATAAACTAACTATGCAAGCAAAATTAGTCTCCGTAAAAAATAAATTGATAAACATTTTTATATAACTTAAAACAATTTTGTAATAATTTTGGTACACATTTTCAGCTCTTGCCTGAGCTTCATCGCTACATAACTCACTAGTCATTTTTTCATCCTGTGTCTCTTTTCTGAAAATTCAGCTGTGTTATTCATTCTTGAAGGTTGCGGGCAGCTAAATTTATTTTCATATCTTTTCAAAGCAAATATTTGTGTACGTAGTTAATCTTTTCTAACAATGCATGTCAAAAGCAAACCAACACGATAAATTTTAGTTTTCCAATATTTTTCTAAAGAAAGCTGGTTTCAGTCATCGTTTGAGGAGTTGAGAGATTATGGTTTTTAAGATCCTTCAGATCCTTTTTAATTTTACAAATGTGTTTAAATAATGTTTACGTAGAGCTTCAATAGCAGATCTTGTTTTCCTTTTAGGTTTCAATGTTGGTGGCACAATTTTTTGATAACTTCCCAGCATGAATTTGAAATCGCAAAAAAGATAAAAATTGTTCATAGTTTGGAAAAGTTTTGAGCTTTAATTGTAACACTGGCATCATTAGCAATAAGATAAAGATTCCGTTTTTTGTCTTTGCAATTTAATTTTAATATTTATGACCTTTAATATAAATATAAAAAAATAAGTAAAACGAAAAAATCAAATTTTCTTTAATCCAAGTTTTGTAAATAACTTAAAAAAATTATAAAACTTTACAAATTTTGCTACCCTCCAATATTCAATATTTGACACACACACTCACACACACACCACAGCCAAGACACACAGGCTCATTCATTTACATACACAATCGCCACGTTTACTTTTTTTTACATTTTTCCGTTTTATTGAAAATTGCTTACTTAAATAAAAGTTACATTATCAAAAATGGAGAATAAGAGGCAACAATCAGTTTAGCAAGTAAAATTAGTTCCATCGACAGATAAATTAATGAGCATTTCGTTTTAATTTAGAACAATTTAGGACAATTTCGAAGCAATTTTGTGCGATAGTATAAATATTAAATAAGTATGGCAGTCACTCAGTAATACTAATAAAAACAGCAAACGACAGAAGAAAACCAACATCTTAGGGAACACTGTGCATCATACTATACAAATCTCATGGTGGGGTTGCTATACATTGTATGGTGGAGGAACATCACAACAATATTAATAACATATGCCATTTAATTTATGTTAATTATGTTAATATTGGTTTTTTAGGCATTTAGCCTGCGGCGGTCATGAAAAAGATGGATTTCCTGTATTTATATATCAAGTTTGTATTGTACTGTATAATTTGCATTTTGATCCATGTTGATTTATTGAAACAAAAAACGTTAGTTATGAGATAATACAATTTTTTAAACATTGCCATTATTGTTTATTGTTGCAATTATTGTATGCGGATCTTTTTTTATCTTTTTTTTTTTCGTTACCAGATACCTTCCTTTGCTTTAAAAATTCGTCATTTAGCCCACCACGGTATTATTTATGATCTTTGTTGGAGTGATGATGACAGTCTACTGTTGTCATCATCTGCAGATGGATGTGCCAAGTTTGTTATAAATTATATATATATTTATTTATAATTATATATATTTTTTTACAATATTCTATAATATGTTTGTAGTTTGTTTTTTTGATTAAACTACAAACATATTAACGCCAAATCATCGGTAGAATTTATAGAATATTGTAAAAATTATAGTCTTTTACCAACATATATATATATATATATATATATATATATATATATATATATATATATATATATATATATATATATATATTACCATTGGGTCAGTTCAAGAGGGAACTTAAAACACACTTGTTTCGAATCTAAGTTTTAAAAACTTGCTTCTTTTATAAAGCAGTAACAGCGCCTATGAGGACACTGTAAGTGTTATAATCGGCGCTTTATAAGTTTCAAAATAATATATATATATATTACTACTACCTCTCTGACTAGAAGGCTTACGATGCAAAAATAGAGTGGTGCTATCAAATCTCATTTGGACTCAACACACTCAATCACTATAAGCCGTGAAATCCTCGACAGCAACATCAAAGTAATATACCAGAACACCAACCACACGGATCTTAAAATTGCAGAAGCAGTCCTAACTGACATCAATAAACCAAAAATAAATATACAACAAAAAATGACAACCTCACTCCCAACCCGGCGCTTAATCAACAATGAAAACAAAGAAGTAATAAGAACTAACATTGTAAATATTGACAAAGAAGAATATGATGCTATCGATGAAGAAAAGGAAACCAATGAAGGTAGACTAGCCAATAAAGAAAGTACAAAGTAATTATTTTCCTATATGAATCAACTTGCACTGATGATATATATATATATATATATATATATATATATAATAAATTCCACGGATTTATTAGTGTTTATCAACTTGTATTCGAATTTTTCAATTTGTCTTAGTAAATTTTTATCGACAAGATTGAGTCTGTTTAAAATTGAAGCTTTATTTTTTATTAACAAACATTTTAAAAATATCATTGCAGATAGATCTATTTCAATGTTTAACTGTCATCGTCAGTGCATTATTTATAGATTTATTGATTAGTATAATTTCAGTTTTAATATTATTAAAAATATATACAAATAAATTCGAAACATGAAATTGTAATGAAAAATTTCGACAAATTTTTGTTATTATTGTTAGTATTATTATTGTATCGTGTAAACATGAGAGTCGGTCGATTTTATTCTGCTCACTGTTTTTACCTACTTTAATTTGGTTTTATAAAAATTAGATGTAAAGATGCGGAAAATTCTGTCGATTAAGCTAATTTTAATTAAATCTAATTTTAAATATTTATTTAGTTTTATTTTGCTTTTAAATATAATTTCAACAGTTAACGCTGGTAAATGTCCACATTGTTTTAAAGAGTTTGTAAATGTAGAAAGACACTCCTGGAGGTGCACTAAAACAACGTTGAATAATAATGACAAATAATATAATATTGTGATATCTCCTAACATTTTTAATAGTTCTAAAAGTAACGATATTTTAACTAATAATGATAATAATTTAATTCCATGTTGCTGTGGCAAGAGTTGCAAGGGTCGGAAGGGCTTGAAATTACACCAACGTTCTTGCAAAATGTTTAAAAACCTTAAGAATGCACTAGAAACCCCAGAAAAATCTGACAAAAATTTGGAACTGTTGCCACCACCACAACGCGAACAAGCATTCCTTGAAAGGTTGGACAGCAACATCATGGAAACTCCTCTCATTGGAATTAAACTACCTAAGACCCTAAAACATTGGACGGAAGCAATTACATACTTCCAACTCCACAGAACGTCCTTACCAAATCTGACATCAACAATTTCACCACCTCATTCCAATCACTGATCTACAATTATTTTGCATCCAACTACGGCACGGTAAAGCTACAAGATTTATCGACAACAAAACATCCCAATAATACCCCAAAAACATGAAGAAGGACCTAAAACAGTTAAAATTACTTGGCCGCAATGACCACAGTTTCGACATGAAAATCAGCACATTAAGCAAACAAATAAGAACAAAACTGTTATCAATGAAAATTGCAAAAACTGAGAAACATGTCGACATAACAAAACAACTGAAAGTCAAATTCTGGTCAACATGCAAAAAATTGTTCAACCCATCAAACAGCTTAACCCCATCATTCAGCATTGACGACTGCAAGAAATATTTTTACAACATACTCCACGACCCATTTCACAACAAGTTTCTCTTTCCGAACTGGGTTCCAACATTGCAGCAACCAACAATTCCATGCAACATCGATCCCCCAACATACCACAAAAAAGCAACAGTCATTAGAAAATGCAAACTTAGAGCATTCCCTGTCCGCCTGATCAAATTTCAATAATTGTTTTCAAAAAATGCCCTATGTCGCGCACAATCCTTCACCAATTAATAGTCGCATGCTGGAGGTCTGCTACGATTCCATCCTGTTGGAGAAAGAGCTTCACCATTTTAATCTATAAAAAAGGTGACCCCAATGACCCAGCTAACTTACGACCGATAATGCTCCAACCGGTTCTTTAAAAGATCTTTTCCACATGCCTAATACACAAATATCTGGAAAACAACAGCTTCATCAACACCTCAATACAAAAGGGCTTCTATCCAAAATTGGACGGAGTGACGGAACACACTCATCAACTTACCCACCTGATGAAAGATGCGAAAAAACATCATCGAACGATCATCGTCACCCTTCTAGATCTCAGAAATGCATTTGGTGAAGTTAGTCACGATCTCATCTGTTCTAAAACACCATCACATACCGGACCAGATATGCAACTTAATTGATTCTATTTATGCCATAGACGTCTTAAATTTATGCTGACTATTCAGCAAACAGTATCAGTACGCGAGCAGTTAATTCCACCAATCCCTGTGAAACGTGGAGTGCTGCAGGGTGATCCCAGTTCACCTCTTCTTTTTAGCCTTTGTTTCAGCCCTCTAATGAAAATGTTAGAGAGAAAAGAATATGAACAAAGTGAATACCTATGGGGTCCTGCGGCTAATCTAAAATCTATAGCTTGGCTGCAATTTGCTGACGATACAGCTATTATAACAAACAGCTCTGATGGTGCTCAGACTCTAATCAATTTTAACCAATTCTGGTGCAAATGGTCTGGCATGAAAATAAGAGTATATGAAATGACTAAAATGACTTCAACCATCTATCGTCGCTACAATGCCAAGGAACATTGATAAAGTCGATTAAGGAAAACATTCACGACTCAGAGATCACCCGTTGGGCTAATGCAACAAAATCCCTGTCAGAAGTTTTATACAAATTCACAATGAAATATCTCATTCAACAACTACCAACCAACGCTAACCTAGTCAAATGGAAAAAAAGGAACAGCGCAGCATGCTCTCTCTGTAACGCCAAGGAAACAAATAAGCATGTAGTATCAAACTGTGGTTCGCCATCTGCACTCGCTAGGTACTTAAATCGCCACTATAAAATACTTGCCATCATCTTAAACAACATCAAATCATGCATCGAGCCTGGAGCAATCATTTTTGCGGATATCGAAGAAGAATCAATCCGCCCTGTGTCGCAACTGTTTACCTCGCTCAGACCAGACATAGCAATCTTGTACAAAAAAACGATTGAAATACTGGAACTAACAGTCATGAAACCAATTACACCAAATCAAGAAACTACAAAGTGGATAAGTACAAGAACAACCTCAAGAATAACCTATTGAATGATTTTAAACATTGCAATATTTTAATCAACACTTTTGAAATTTTGCCAATAGGATTTTATAATTCTTTCAATTTATCTTAAACTAAAATAAACAGGCGCGACGATTTTAGATCTAGCTTAATCAATTCTGCGATAGCGTCTACTTATGCAATATATTGTGACAGAAATAAAGCTTGACTCTAGTTTTTATATTATTTTATCATCTTTGTACACATTCATAATGACGAGCACTGATGTTAAATTATCCATTATTTTAATCTTTTAACTATTATAATAATTGATCATTTTATATTTAATTGTAATTTTCATTTATATTTTAGCTTTTGAAGAAACAAAAGAGTTCTCATTATTATTATTATTATTATATTATTATTATTATTATTATTATTATTATTATTATTATTATTATTATTATTATTATTATTATTATTATTGCTATTATTATTATTACACTCGAGACGTCCAGATAAATCGGTCGATCAATCCAATGTTTCAATTCAACTATCAAAGAACTTTTGGAAAGCATGTAAAAAAATTTTCTCGTCGATCACATCAACACCTCCATCATTCGATGTTTAAAAAGGGAGCAACCAACCAGCTACAAAATATTTTCAACTCTAATAAAAAATAGACTTTACAATTTTCTACAACAAAATAAATTCATCAATACCAATATTCAAAAAGATTTCTACCCGAATGTTGACGGTTTATTGGAACATTCCCAAATTTTGACCCACCTGATGAAGAATGCTAAAAAACACCAAAGAACAATAATTGTTGCACTACTAGACCTCGAGGATGCTTTCGGTGAAGTTAGTCGCCTGTTAATCAACTTAATCTTTCATATCATCAAATACCTCAAATAATCGAACCGCTGATATTGTCAATTTACTCTGACTATTCAACAATAATATTAGTGAACAATGAACTAACGCCAGCATTGCCCGTCAGAATAGGGGTTCTCCATGGTGACCCGTATTCCCTTCTAATAGTCAATTTATGCTTCAACCCCTGATGAAAGTTCTCAATACAGAGCTTTATGCCAATTGTGGTTATTTCTGGAGACCAACTGCGGGTTTAAAGACTAGATCCAGGTCAGTTTGCTGGTGATTCAGCTATAGTTTTGAATAGTTCTGAAAGTGCACAAAAATTGATAGAGCTAAACTATGCGTTGTGCACGTTGTCGAACAAGCAGATGAGAATCGACAAATGTCACTCCTTTGGTATGAGGAAGAAAAATTATGACTATCAACAGTTTCTATCAAGGCTAAATGTCCAAAACAAAAACATTCCAAATGTCGAGATTGGTGACAGTTTCATATATTTGGGCAAATTATATGATTATTAGTGCATCCACAAAAAAGCCAGAGATTCAATTAAAACAAAATTAACTAAACTACTGGAGACCACCACGAATTTGAACGCCACTCCTCGGCAAAAACTACAAATTCTTAGGCGATTCATTTAAACTCAGCTGCAATTTGAATTTCGAAATTCACAATGGTCACAATATCATATCATTGAAGGACACGTTGGAAAATGCAAAAGTCAAAATTCGAAATTATTTGAAATAAAGCAGCATCGATGAAACTGTTTGTTTGTGGCGGGAAACGTCAACTAATTTCGAAAGATTTTATAGGATGCTGGCAGAGTCAGGTTCGGTGAAACAGTCGCTCGAGTGGCTGGAGTGACAAGAATTGCATCCAGGCTGGACCATGTGTTTAATCTCCAATGCCAAGGTTTGTAAATTAAAGCAATAAATGAGCACATTTCCCCATCACAAACGTCGCGTTGATCAAAGATCGCCGAAGGATTACCGGGTGTGCTCTATAAGTTTACTAGAAAGTATATATTACAACAGCTTCCCACTAATGCAAACTTATTCTAGATGAAATAAGTCAACAAAATTTCTATGTCCACTATGCAGTTTTTTAAAATTTTTGTTTGGCGCATCGCCACAAATTCTCCACTCCATTTGTGTGCACTCCGTTTAATGTTATGGTGTAATTCACGGTTTGGTGGCTTAGACCGGTTACGGTTGTTATGCTGTTATAAGCAGCCCATTGATCCGTTCAAACTGTTGTACCTAAAATTATTAAAATCCAACTATATTTCATAACCTACCAAAATGAATTTTAAAACATTAATTATTTATGGAATCAATCGGACAGATTATGTCGCTATATCAATGGCAACAAGTGGCAGCATTTCGTCTATCTACTTCCACCAGAAAGGCATCCTTTGTTTGGGTATCGATGTCTCCAAAAACCCAGCGTGTCCTAACTGGGCGTGCATTCTGGTTCCTCAATCTCTTTGCAGATGAGATGTCGCTTTTATCTATCTGAACAATGTGTCCGGGGCCACCTATTCCTGCAGGGTTATCACGAACCCAGTCAATACATAAATCGCGATTTAAATTGAGCCAGTCAGTTCCTGACGTTCAATTTTAAAAGCTCCACAACAGTAGCCTGGCTAATGTCATTTATAGACCAGAAAAACGTGACCTTAAATTTAAAACAACTCGCATCATCATTTTTAAACAAATGAAATTTTTTTATAAACAATGAAAAAAATTTTACCAAAATACAATTTGCAAACGACATTTGGCTACGGCTGTAGACACTTTCATATCTAATTGTTTTTGTGGTGTGAATGAATGAATGAATGAATGAATAAATGAATGAATGAATAAATGAATGAATGGATGGATGGATGGATGAATGAATAAATGAATGTGAATGAATGAATGAATAAATGAATGAATGAATGAATGAATGAATAAATGAATGAATGAATGAATGAATGAATGAATGAATGAATGAAAGAATGAATAAATAAATGAATGAATGAATGAATGAATGAATAAATGAATGAATGAATGTGATTGATTGAATGAATGAATGTGATTGAATAGATAAGTGAATGAATGAATGCATGAATAGAAGAAGGAATAAATGAATAAAAGGAGAAGGGAATAAAAAAAGAATAAGTAAGTGAGTGAGTGAGTGAGTGAGTGAGTGAGTGAGTGAGTGAGTGAGTGAGTGAGTGAGTGAGTGAGTGAGTGAGTGAGTGAGTGAGTGAGTGAGTGGATTTATAGGTGTGTGAGTGAGTGAGTGAATGACATAGCCTGGTGCAAAGGGAGGCCTTAGTCCTGGGCATGACATAAAACTGCATCAAGGCTGCCTTGCGAGCTTTTGAGCAAAAGGCTAGGCCCACCGCTTATAACTGGTGGTTGTCGTCAGGATGGGTGTCCGGATGTAATAAGTTTCCCCAAAATGCCTTAAGTGGTCAAGGGGTGCTAAGAATCCCTGGGAAGTATGCAATAGCGGAGGGATGTTGCAGAAAAATTCAGAATGGCCTCTCTCATTTTATTAAAAAATTATTGCAAGATAGATCTAATTTCTAATTTTTAATTTAAAAATTTTTTAAGTTTTTAGTTTTTAAAATTTTTCATTAAATAATTAATATAATTTTAAATCAAAAAATAATGCATTGTCCTGGGCATGACATAAAACTGCATCCACGCTGCCTTGCGTACTTTTGAGCAAAAGGCTAGGCCCACCGCTTATAAATGGTGGTTGTCGTCAGGATGAGTGTCCGGATGTAAAAATCTCTCCAAAATTATTCTATGCCATCGCAAACAAAAACAACGGCCTCTAGTCCCCTTAAGTGGTCCAGGGGTGTTAAGAATCCCTTGGAAGTATGCAATAGCGGAGATATGTTGCAGAAAAATTCAGAAGGTTACCTACATGGTACTTAGACTTGAAAATCGCAGAAATGCTCTAGCGTAGAAGAATTGACATCTATTGCTTTCAGGATACCCGATGGAAATCGAATGGTGTCTGTCATATCAACTCAGACAAAGAAAAATATAAATTATTCTGGAATGGTCAAAAGACGGCCAAAAATGGTGTTGGAATTTTTGTCAAAGAACCGCTAGCCCAAGAAGTACTGGATATTAAAAGGATCAGCTCACGTCTCATGTAGATCAAGATTCGCCTACAAAAGAAAACAATGACTATTTTTTTCTGCATACGCACCATAGACAGGCGAATCAGAAGAGATAGAAAATGACTTCTGGGCTGCGTTCTCTGACCTCAACAATACCAAAATCTGAAAGAATCCTGATTGGAGGCAATCACAATGGTCACGTTAGAGAAAAAACAGATGGTTTTGACAACGTGCATGGTGGTTTTGGCTATAGAGAACGGAATGAAGATGGCAACCGCATCCTTGAGTTTGCTGAAAGTCACGGGTTTTGTTTACTGAACACATATTTTAAAAAAGAGGTTGGAACATCTCATAACATACAAAATTGGACCATCAGCCACGCAAATTGATTTTTTTGCTGTCAAGCTACAGTGGAAAGAATATTTCAACCGTCTGTTAAATGAAACAAATCCCATCAATGTCAACTTTGACGCTCCACCGATCGAAGGTCCGATTCCAAAAATCACTGTAGAGGAGCTTACAGAAGCTTTGAAAGCTATGAAGGATGGAAAGGCAGCAGGGCCCTTTGGACTCACAAATGACATTATCAAAGTATCTGGTACTGCAGGTATCCAAACGTTACTACAACTTCGCCGTGAAGTCTAGAGAAATTGCTCAATGCCGACTGAATGGAACTATAGCATGACAGTTCCGCTATACAAAGACAAAGGTGATCCATTGAACTGTTCATCATAACGGGGTATACGTCTGTTAGAACACTCCCTGAAAATTGTCGAGAAAATCATTGAGAGAAGATTAACGTCGTGCATCACAATCGGAAATTATCAATTTGGTTTCCTAGCGGGAAAATCAACAATTGATGCAATTCACATCCTTCGGCAACTGCAAGAGAAGTACTTTCAAAGCATCAACAACTATCACCAAGGCTCGATTCTCAGTCCACTGTTATTTTTACTGTGATGGAAGAAATCACTAAACCGATGTGCATTGGTGACATTTGGAATCTAATATATGCTAATGATATCGTTTTAACAGCCACGTCTGAGCAGAATGCAGCACAGATGTTTGATGATTGGAACACCAGACTGGCCGATCATGGATTCAAAGTCAACATCATCAAAACCAAAGCAATGAACAATGGTGAACCCATTCAATCTACAGCTACTAGATGAGAACCCTGTTCAGTTTGTAAAGCTGGTGTTGGTAACAATTCAATCAATTGTCAGCAATGTAACCAGTGATGTCACAAACGTTGTTCAAAAATAATTGGTACTTTATATAAAGTGTCCAATTTTGTTTGTCCTGTTTGCATCAATCCACAACAACAAATTCGAAATAGGAATGTTTTTGAAGCCATTAAGGTAGAGAAAGTCACATCGTTTCAATATCTAGGGGATGTTCTAGATTGTATTGAAACAGCTGAAGCTGCCGTTCGAGCACGCATACGTGCAGCCTGGAATAAATGGCATCTCCTTGCCTCTATATTGATGCGGTGTGACATCCCACTACCACTACGATCAAGATTTTATAAATCTGTGATACGTCCGGTGTTGTTATATGGTGCAGAAACGTGGCCAATGAAAGCCAAACTGGAACAACAACTTCAACGAACCGACATGAAAATGCTCCGATGAGTGCAACGAATTAGTCTGAAGGACCATATCAAATTTACCGAAATCCTGCGTCGTGCTGGTATAGATGATATAAAGGATGAATGCCGGCAACACCGTCTGAGGTGGTTTGGTCATGTCAAACGAAGTGGAAACAGTGCCATAACTTCTCTTGCAGATGTTAAAGTATCTGGCACACGTTTCAAAGGCCGTCCAAAGAAGTCCTGGTCGCAAACAATCGAGCATGACATGAAAGCTCTAAATTTAAATAAAATGGATACAACTGATCGTCTAATTTGGCGCAAAAAATTGATGACAAAGAAAACAATGTCCTACCTCGGGGAACTGGGTCTTTGGACGATAAACGAAGATTGTTGATTGATTGCTATCAATTATCGCCAAACAAATAAACTTGTTTAACGCCAAACAATAAACTCAAATTCAGTCTATAATAACTGTTTGTTAATTCTTTATTCATTTAAAATATCATCAATGGGTTTCTATAACAATTTTTAACTAACTTTGTTTAAAATATTATAGTCGAAATCTTTTGATAAAAAACTGATTAACGCGGTAATTCGCTCGTCATATAGCATATATTGTGACAGAAACACTACTTAACCGATTTTAAATATATTTTTACAATCAAACACTTGTTGGTCAAAGAGCATGAGAGGATCGTACATTGTCTTTTACATCCTATTTATTTACACTTATATATAATTAAAATCTTCGATTGATTTCATTTAGATTTTATTTTTTTGGTCAATAGTGAGGAGTTAGTGAGGTGATCGATAAAAGTGAGGTGATCAATAAGTAAAACTTCCTGGTCATCATTACCATCGTCGTCATCATATCAGCATCATTGTTATTAACATTATTATTATCAATATTATTGATATTGGCAGGATTATTCAAAACTCTATGAGTCGGTAGTATTGTTTTACTATAAAAATAGTTTCGGCCAGTTTGAGGCGGAAAAATTGTTGTGCAAACTAGATAATTGATTATTATCTAATGTTTTCCTGGCTAATGTTTTATAGTGAATGTTGAACATGTAAGTTTTTATCGCACAACTCCTTCTGTGCATCGTAAGTCTACGTGAAAAGTCAGTGGTCGTCATGCCGATGTATGATGAGTTTAGATGCGCACAGTCGTCATTTGGGCATTTGAATTCAAACACAACAAGCCTACATTTTAAAATTGACTCTTGTTGAGCAGACAGTTGTTTTTGAGGATGAGATTGCATGTTTTCCGGTTCTGATGGTAAATTCTAAGTTTAATTTTATCATTATGATTATTAGAAATAATATAATTTTTATTATTCTTTTCTTTATATTTTCATCAATCTTATATAACGATGACATAAAGTTACGATAATACAATATAATATCATTATTATCTTTAGCGTTATTATAAAAATTAACAACAATATACATTCACTCAAAATCTGTAAAGAATGCCAGCACGAGATAGATTTCAATCATGTATATTTGCTAGAGTACCATGATATTCTGCTAAGGTCTTTAAAAGACTACATTAACTCTTCTGAAATTGCACGATGGTCTAAAGTAGCAGAAAGAGGACCAGTGATCCTACTTATATTTGCAATTTGTCAAGGTGGTTTGTGGTTAGGATCCGCGGTTGAGTTGGCGCCTTCTGCTTTTTTAGCTTCTGCCGCCGCCACGGTTTCTCTACAAAATGCTGCCTAACGATAAAAATCACTTGGACAACCAGATAGTCCAAGTTTTTACAGTTGGCGCGCCACGCACGGAGATGATGATGATTTGGAGTCATGTTCGCAAAATGGCTGGTATGAACTCTTCCTAAAGACCTCGGTTGAAAAGGTTGACAACCTAAATAGTTTGGCGCTAGACAATGTCAGAGTCTTGGCAGTTAAAAGCGAGCTTTGGTCAACGTGGTTGAGGACGGTGCCCTACACCTCATGTGGCAGAAGGTTTGATGATTCGGTCATCCGAGTAAGCTTGGGGTTGAGGCTAGGTTTGCCAGTTGTTACCAAATATGTTTGCCACTGCGAAGCAAAGGTTGATCCATTTGGTTATCATAGTCTCTCATGCCGTCTTGGCTCTGGACGCCTGGCAAGACAATCAACGATGAATGATTTCCTGGTTCGCTGCTTTCAGAAAGCTGCCATGCTGGTGATATTTGATTGCAGATAGGAATTTTGGACTTGACAGTCACATAATTTCTCCATGGGCTATGGGACGTTCGCTGGCCTGGGATGTGACGTTCCCCCACACGATGGCCAAAAGATACATCTCTTTCACATCGGTTGAGGCAGGTACCGCGGCTTTAAAAGTATACGACCAAAAATTTTCCATAAGTATGCTACTCTCAATGATTCTAAAATTTTTCAACCAATATGCATCGATATCTTTGGACCAACCGACAACATTACCCATATGTTTTTGAAAACTACATTAAAGAATATATATCGGTTCTGCAAAAATTTAATTCCTTTTGTATATTTGATGGGGTTTTAAATAACCTTTCTGTGCGTAACCCAATAACATAGAGTATAGCAGAACCTGACAATGGTTATAGCCCCATCAATGACTAGTTAATCAACGAAGGGTCTAGTTCTACAGACATACATATTTAAATTTAATTTAAATGATTTATATATTTATTCAATGAAAGTTAAAAAGATGATTTGATTGTCCAAATAATTATTTATTTAGTTAATTAATTAATTAATTGCTATTTTTATTTATTTTATTTATTTTTTTCTTTATTTATATTTTTTAAAGTTAATTTGTTTTTCAGCTGACTCTTTGACATGATATACATACTTACATAAATACATACATTGCTTACAATATGATTACGGAGTTACTGGAGTTGTAGCTAATTGGTTCAATTCGTACTTGTTTGGCAGAACTCAGCAGGTTTTTTTCGAGAACAAATTATCTGGTATTGAAGCAATGTCATCTGGTGTACCACAAGGCTCAGTCCTGGGACCTATTCTGTTTGTACCATACACTGCTGAAGTATATGAAGTAATAGAATTCTTTGGATTTTCATATCATGCGAACGCTGATGACATCCAAATAATAGTTAGCAGTGAACAAGAACTGTTGAAAAGTAAAGTTGAAAATCTCATTGAATGCTTGACTAAAATAGGTACATGGATGTCAAGAAATTGTTTCAAATTGAATCAAAAAAAAACTCAATTTTTACCTGTCGGTACATGGCAACAGCTTTCTAAAATTAATTCAGTCAAAATTGATTATAATGAAATACAATTCTGTGAAAATGCAACAAACTTAGGATGTATTTTTGATTCGAGATTATTTTTCAAGGATCACATAAAAAACATATCTAAATCATGTTCTTATCAGCTTTGCCAGTTATACCGCGTTCGAAAATCTTTACATCAAACAACCATGCAGACATAAATTCATCGTTTGTTCATTCATGGTTAGACTACTGTAATAGCTTGTTCCATGGATTATCAGAGAGATCTATTGCTTTTCTTCAATCGATACAGAATAGAGCTGCAAAATATAACTGTTGGACGTAGAAAGTATGACCATGTGATACCCATTTTAAGAGACCTACATTGGCTAACAGTTAAAAAAAGAATCAACTATAAGATTTGTGTGACTATGTATAAGGCTATGAACGGGTTGTTACTAGTATATCTAGTAAATAAAACTAAAAAAAACCAGCTTCTTCAACGGCTGTAAAATTGAGATCAGATTATGCCAACTTACTGGCAGTGACAACTCAACTACAAACTGCAACTAGAAATATTGCCGTGTCAGGACCAATTGCCTGGAACAGTCTTCCGCAATCGTTCAGAATGCCTAGACTAAAGCTTGATGATTTTAAGAGGAACTTAAAACATATTTATTTTTGACGTAGAAATATTTTATCGATTTGTACTTTATTGACCTTCACTGATTTCATTTATAATAGATAGAGCTTTCGAGAAATATTAATTTTATAATGCGCTTAATAAATTGTTGATAATAATAATAATAATACATACATATATACATACATACATACATACATACATACATACATACATACATACATACATACATACATACATGCATACATACATACATACATACATACATACATACATACATACATACATACATACATACATACATACATACATACATACATACATACATAATTACAGCTAATATTTGAATACACTTCAATTATTAATAACTCAAAAGTAGGAGAATAAGATAATAAATCATCCCGAACAACATAATTTAAATGACTTTTAATAAATAAACCAACACCACCACCTAGGTTACCTATACCATTTTTAGATACAAAATTAAAATTAGGCAAATTAATTAAATTAGCGGTCTGATCACATAACCAAGTTTCACTCACAGCTACCAAATCAAAATTACCACCACAATAATCAAGCAAAACATTCAACTCAGTCATTTTGTTAAACATACTTCGAATGTTAATGTGAAAGTCAGAAAAAGAATTTGGATTAATAAATGCATAAACCTTATCCGGAGGTAAAAAAGAACACACATTATTTAAATCATTCAACAAATTACTATCAGGATCAACATCATCAAGCCGACCAGGTTTAACTTCATTATTGTCAGGCGTCATCTATCAGATGAAGATAAATTGGCCATTGTTCATCATTTTTCATATTGAGATAAAGTTTATTAGAAACATCATTCTTCATGTTTGTTGTTGTTTTTGTCATCGGTTTTTTTGGGGTTGAACCTCCATTCTTTGACGATGATATGTTGATTTCTTAAATTTCCAATTTAATTTTATTGAAATTTACATTTAATATATTATCCATACTGGGAATTTTAGAAAAATTAACACTTACGTCGGTTGGTAGAGATTCCAATAAATTGTTTTTGTTTAATTGCAAGATAATTGTAACAATATCAAGCATTTTGTCCTCTTTTTTATTGCTTTTCGCAGAATTTTTTTCCATGTTTGCAAACTTTTCATTTTTAACAAATTCTAAGTCATTTTTTAAAGTATTTAATGCAGTAGTAATATCGTCAGAAAATCAACAACATTTGAAATAAACACGTCATTTTGAAGTAAATTTAAGTTATTTATCAAAAAATATAAAACCTCATTCACCGACAAATTACCTTTAGACGCCATTTTTCCAATATATATGAATTGAATTGAATACATACATACATACATACATACATACATACATACATACATACATACATACATACATACATACATACATACATACATACATACATACATACATACATACATACATACATACATACGTACGTACATACGTACATACCTACATACGTACATACATACATACATACATACACACACACACTCACACACACACACACACATACATACCTACATCTGTGTCTCCATGCTTTTTTTTCCTGAATAAATTGAATTGAATACATACATACATATTTCTGTCCAGAAACCCCAAAGATAAATAAACACTGGAATCTGAAATTGATTTTAGCTCCGTCATAGCTTTTACCAACAAGGGGAATATACATACATACATACATACATACATACATACATACATACATACATACATACATACATACATACATACATACATACATACATACATACATACATACATACATACATACATACATACATGCATGCATGCATGCATGCATGCATGCATACACACATACATACGTGCGGAGACCAGTACATACATGTACAGGTCTCCGCACAGGTTGGCAGATTTAGATTTTAAGTTATAAATTCGTATAAATTCGTATTTAAAGTTATATATCCACATTTATTTTAATCTAATTAATTTTAATTATATATTTGTATTTAATCTTAAGTTATATATCCGGTTTTAATTTTAAGTTATATAATTATATTTAAGTAATATAATTTAAGCGGCACACAGGTGCTTGGTTTTAAAGTTGTTTTTCTACAAGTTTTTATGTTATAAGCCTTATGTACAGTTTACAATAATAATAACAGTTTGCGCTGCTAGTTTCTTAATGTTGAGTCAAGGACATGTACCCAGCACGACTTCTCTCACTGTGTCATGTGTGTTATAAACATTTTAAATTGAGGCAGGATGGTACTCTCGTTAGACATGGTGGAAAAGTGAATGGCTCGGAATGTCCGGGATCTTCGAAGCACCCACCTTCGAGCAGGAAACGAAGGTCGCTCAATGTCGTCAACGCAAACATCTCAAAGACGAGTGAAGAGACTCAAGGCTTCTTGATACTGCTGTCGATATGAAGAGTAAATCGTCACTGGCCGAAAATTTTTTTGAAAAATCATCTGGCTGTTGGTTAGTTGACCATGTGCCCAAGCAATCGCGTGGTAAGTTTGGCCGGATGTTGAAGGATATTTTGAAAAACATTTGCGATAACCCATCAAATGCCACTCTCTGGTTCAGGTTGCTATTTATTCCCCGCTTGATTCTCCGAAAGGAGCATCGAGGGGGTGGACGAAACAACATCAGCGCAAAAATTAATAGCAGATTAGATGCCTTTGGAGGGGGCTCATTGGAAGAGTTGATGAAATCTGTCGAACCAATTGTAAAGGAGCAAGATGAAAGGGTTCGTAAACCAAAGCTAAGTGCTTTAGTCAAATGCAAAATAGAACAGGGAAACGTTAGAAATGCTATGAGGATTTTAGCATCGACGGATACGATGGCTCCGGATTCGGCAGACACTATCAACTCCTTAAAGGACAAGCATCCTCCCGCTTTGTTAGACAGAAAACCAAGTCCCAATAAAGAATCGATAAGCGTTACTGTTAATCCCCAACAAATTATGTTGTGCTTGAGGCAGTTTCCAAAAGGAACGACAGGAGGTAGAGATGGTCTAACTCCACAGCAAATAAGTGATTTAACACATGATAAGATAGAAACAGCAGAAATCAGTGCCATGACCGGTTTTATCAATCTGCTGTTGGGCGGCGTTTTTCCACCCGAGGTAGTTCCATACTTGTTTGGCGGGAGATTGGTGGCCTTGTCAAAGAAGGACGGTGGTGTCAGACCTATTGCCTTTGGATGTGTATGGAGACGCTGGGCTGCAAAATGTGCGTTATTAGTCATCAAGGACAGGATGGGTCCAATTTTCGAACCTCAGCAGGTTGGTGTCGGAATTAGCGGTAGAGCAGAAGGAGCGATACACGCTGTCAGGCGATTCGTCAATAATATGAAGGAAGATGAAGGCTTTCTAAAACTTGATTTTTCAAATGCTTTCAATTCGATTCGTCGTGACCATATGCTTCAATGCGTCAAATCTCGGCTCCAGAAATTTTCAATTTTTGCTTGTTGGCGTACGATGCTGATTCATTCCTGTCACTTAATAACAGCATCATTTTTTCATCAAAAGGTGTGCAACAAGGGGATCCTTTTGGACCGTTGCTTTTTTCTCTGTCGATTGATCCACTGGTGAAGACATTTCGATCTAAATTTGTTGTCGCATACTTGGATGATATTGCGTTGGGTGGATGTGTAAAGGACCTAATGGATGATGTGGATTTGATCAACAATAATGGTCGTGAATATGGTCTCAAGTTGAATTTTAAAAAAATGTGAAATCACTACAAATTCAACAGCTTTACCCCTCGCCCAAACAAATATTGAAAGAATTGAGATGAATGACCTAGAATTTTTGGGTTCGATAGTTTTTAGAGGAAAACGCCATGATAATTTTTGGGCTAAAAAGCTGGAGGATTTTAAACATATTATGTCAATGATGACGGAGATTGGCAAGCATGACGCCCTTGTCCTGTTGACGCAGGCGGCATTCATTTCAAGGCTGTCATACTTTTTACGTACCTCTCCTGGCCTGTCTCAACAAACGTCAGATGAATTTAACAACGAACTGCGCATGGGTTTTCAGACTATATTTAATGTGTTTTTTGATGATAAAGGTTGGAGGCAGGCTATATTGCCGGTAAATATGAGTGGACTGAGTTTGGGTGTCGTGGCCGAGCTGGCACCATCAGCATTTTTGTCATCGGCCGCGGCCACGGCAGCCCTCCAGGAAAAGATCTTACCAATGGATGTAGCATACCAGGATGATTTGAGACTTGAAACATTTCGAAGCTGGTGCACGGTTTACGGGGATATAATGGACATAAATGTGTGTCGCAGAAAAAATGGAATGAACCACCTTTGAATAATTCAAAATCGAAACTGGATGAATTAAATGATTCTCCCTCAGATAAAGCCAGGTTGATGGCCGTTAGAAGTGAATTGGAATCTGCATGGCTAAGGGCTATTCCCAGTGCAGCTTGGGGTACAAGACTTGACAATGGTTCTATTAGAGTGAGTTTATGCTTGAGGCTTGGGTTGCGGTGGTGTCAGGTTACAGATGCTTGTATGGGGCGGATGTTTTTCAGTTGGGTCACCATGGTTTATCGTGTAGGCTTATTTCAGGAAGACAAGCAAGACACTCTGCCATGAATTATGATATATGCAGATTGTTCCAGAAAGCAGATATACCCGCCGTTAAAGAACCAGCAGGCAATCTGATAGCAATCTGATAGCAATTTCAGGCCAGATGGCTACACCCTGGTACCGTGGTCTCAAGGTTGCTGTTTATCATGGGATGTGACGTTCCCTCACACGTTAGCCGAAAGGTACATCAATTACACGGCTATTGAGCAAGGTTCCGCTGCCGTGAAGGCTGCTGAATTAAAGAATACTAAGTACAAAGATCTAAACGACAATACGAGTTTTCGTTCCGATCTGCGTGGAGACATTTGGCCCAGTTGATAAACAGACACAATTATTTTTTGATAACATAGGTGCTAAAATAGTTGAAAAATCCGGTGATCCCAATGATAAAATTTATATAAAGCAAAATATATCGTTGTTGTTGCAAAAGTTTAATTTATTTTGTATTTTAGAGAACATTGCTAAGTGCCCTACTGTGCGAGACCCTGTACACTAATATTATCTGTTGAGCAGGGGCGAAATGATAGTTTTTATGGCTATTGTTTTTAACCAAGGGCTCGCACATACATACGTACGTACATACATGAACTCATACATACATGCATACTAACATAAAACATACACATACTTACACACATATACTCACACATACACATACATTACTTTTAACAGTGTTTATAGTTTTTAATCCTATTTTATCCATAGTTCTTTTTCCTATATTTAATTAAGCACCATTTGTTTTAATTACTACAAATTAAGACTGAACGGAAAGCTACACCAGCTCGGAGGAAAGGAAAAGGGACAAGAATGCCCAGGTTTCATGAAAGCGGTTGAGTCTATAGAACCTCCGTGCTAGTCCTCCCGCACCACATCCATCAACATGGATCGCAAAGCCGCACGCACACCTTCAGCTTCTACCGCAAAGCTTCCGGAGATTGACTTTAACGTTTTTTTCAACAGGCTGACGGTCGCCTTGAAAACAATATCTATGTGTTGATCATTGTGCCAAAACCGGGCAGGGTGAAAGTAATCAGAGATTTGATGCTTCTGATGATGGTTATTTGTAATGATCCCTGTGACCCAACACGCTGGTATAGGCTCCATTGTTTTTTCTATATATTTTTTATAAGCCTAGCAGAGGGGGTCAAAGATTCAATCAGGATCACCACGTTAACAAACTCTTGACGGAATATTCCACCTTGGGGGTCGAGTCACTTGCGACTGGCTTTGAAAACGACCGCATCATAAAGCCGCAAAAAATAATTTAAACTGTTGAATACCAGCGTGTCTGTCCGTATAGAACAGGGCAATCTTTCGGTGGCCGTCAAACTTGTCTGCTCCTTCGAGGGCTTGACTGAGACAGTCTAAACCCAATGCCATTCATCTCAAGGCACCGAGGCCTTTCTCGCACTGGAAAAATCAAGTGAATGCGTTTCACCTAACCAAAAATCGTTTCACATATTCAAAAACGGTTCCTCCGGCGGCCTCGATTGCCAAAAGCCTCAAAACATAAAAGATTTGATTTCAGGCCTACTACCAATCAATGATTTTTAAGCTTCCTATGCCAATTTATAAATTTGATTTAATTTAGCGCCTGTTCAAACGCCGCCAGCCGTTTTTTGGAGTCGATTGGTTGCGTTGACTAAAAAAGATGAAGAGGTTAGACCCATTGCGGTTTCTAAATTTTTTGAAAAGGCTGGCCAGCAAATGTGTTTTGACTATTCAATTGGGTGTTGGAATGAAGGGAAGCGCTGAGGCGCCTCCCTTGCCGTACATGCCGTTCGCAAACTGGTCTTAGACCTACCCAATCAGTGGAGTTTTTAATGCCTTGAGGAGAGATTCGATGTTGGAGGCAGTCAAACAGTTCTGCCTTAAAATTTATAACTATTTTCATTCTTTTTGGTTACCATACCTGGGTGGTGGAATCATCTGAGGGGGAGCAACAAGGTGATCCTTTGGGGCTTTGTTGTTCTCTTTGACCATTCATCCAGTGTTAGAGAAATTCCTATCAAAATTCGTTTGCTGCTACTGGACGGTATCAGTTTGGCCGCCGAGAGTCCGGTTTCGGCTGTTTATTTTTTGTTTTCCGGTGGTGCGTGCACGCACGTGTTTAGCTGTTGCAAACATACTAATTTAATTTAAATAACAATTTTATTTTTAGCTACTTTAAATTTTCTCAATTAGGTTCTAGTTTTCTGTTTTATTAATTTTATTTTTTTTGTCCGCTTTTACTTTTAATCACTCTTTACTCGTTACTAATTATTGTTCACATCTGAACGAACGCATGATTCAATACGCATGCCAACAACTGCTTGATTTTCAACCCGACAAATTCGCCATTAATTCGCCGCTACGAAAAACTCTATTCCTTAAAAAAATTTGGAACCCCGATCATTACCAACATCAGCACCTTTCCTCTTTTCCTCAATCGTTACAGCACTCTTCAACAACTTTAACATAAACACACCCGGCTCATCTACCTAACACTAATTCACCAGCAGCAATACCAGTAGTAGTTTCATCAACCCGTAAAAGAAGCAACCACCCCAGTTGACGCTCTTCACCTAATCATTCCATTCTCATCAAAATCAAACTCACCCCGACTTCCAACCCTGCCAAAATCACTCCATGTCACCCACCATCTACATTTTGAATGTCACTAGCATTGTCAAGCGACATGCTATTAAACATTTGAGATGTGATGTGTATCATCTCCACCCTGACATCATTGTCATCACCGAGTCATGGCTTAGGCCAGATCACCCTGGTGGTTTGATCGCAATAAATGGCTACACACACACATTTCAGAGAAGACCGCCCTGGCAGGCGGCGTGGAGGAGGTGTTATCTATTTTAAGTCATCCATCTTATCTCAAATTCACATCGTTTCGCCTCATGCCATTAATGATGCACTGGAAAAGCTTTTTTAAAGTGCATTATTGACAGTGAACCATACTTCATCTGCGCCATCTGTCATCCACCAAATCATCCATCATACGAAGTCTCCTTCTTGATGGGTTACATCGATGAACTCTCCAACACTTCGTTGGGGAGCGACTCAAAACTCATCATTGGGGGTGACTTCAACTCGACCATCATTTCATCCTTCAAACAGGTCTACATCCTATATTCGGGGATTCCACCCACCACGGCCACAACCATGACAGAATATATGGGATTAATGTAAACCTGGACATCTCTCACACTTATAGGTTACACGTTTCAACACATCATCTTGAGGTGGTTGCTGCCCCTCCACCTCCACCAACAATTCAACATCTAGAAACAACATAACGAGAAACGTCTTCTCATTTTGCCGTCGTCATCCTTCACAGAATATTGCCTGCCTTCAACATCAACTCATCTCAACAACATAGATTTCAACAATATCTTTAACTTCAGCATCATCACCACCAACAATACTCTAACAGCAATTTTTAATAATAATACTATTAGTTTTGGTAATATTAATGGGAACATTCTTTTATTTACCGAAAAAATAAAATCTAAATGAAATCAATCGAAAATTATTAATTATATATCAGAGTGTAAATAAATAAGATATAAAATATAATGTACGATCCTCTTATGTTCTTTGATCAACGAGTGCTTGAGAGTAAAAGAAATATATTTAAAATCGGTTAAGTAGTGTTTCTGTCACAATATACGCTATATGACGAGTCATATAGCATATCATAGTCATATGATGGAATCACAGTTCGAAACAACATGTTTATTTGTTTGGCGATAACTGCATAGTGGACATAGAAATGTTGTTGACTTACCCCATTTAAATAAGTTTGCATTAATGTGAAGCTGTTGTATTAAATATTTTCTAGTAAACTTATAGAGCACTCCCGGTAATCCTTCGACGATCTTTGACCAACGCGACGTTTGTGATGGAGAAATGTGTTCATTTATTGCTTTAATTAACAAACCTTGGCATTGGAGATTAAATACATGGTCAAGGCTGGATGCAATTTTTGTCTCTTCCAGCAATTTGAGTGACTGTTTCACCGAACCTGACTCCGCCAGCATTTTATCAACTTTTTCGAAATTAGTTGATGTTTCCCGCCACAGACAAATAGTTTCATCGATGCTGCTTGACTTTAAATAATTTCTGATTTTGACTTTTGTCTTTTTCAATGTGTTCTTCAATGAGATGATATTGTGACCACAATAGCTGTCCGGCAGGGAAAGCATCTCGGACACACAACCATTGATTGTCGTAGTCAGCCATTGTCTAACGTTTTCCACGATTAAGCTGTCAAGGTTTTTCGAGACCCATGTTGATGAAAAGTTATAATTTCGAAATTCAAATTGCAGCTGAGTTGAAATAAATCGCCTAAGAATATGTAGTTTTTTCTGAGGAATGACGTTCAATTTCGTGGTGGTCTCCAGTAGTTTAGTTAAATTTGTTTTAATTGACTCTCTAGCATTTTTGTCGTTGCACTCGTAATCGTATAATTTGCCCAAATATATGAAACTGTCACCAATCTCGACATTTGGAATGTTTTTGTTTTGGACATTTAGCCTTGATAGAAACTGTTGATAGTCATAATTTTTCTTCCTCATACCAAAGGAGTGACATTTGTCGATTCCCATCTGCTTGTTCGACCACGTGCACCACGCATAGTTTAGCTCTATCAATTTTTGTGCACTTTCAGAACTATGCAAAACTATAGCTGAATCACCAGCAAACTGACCTGGATCTAGTCTTTAAACCCGCAGTTGGTCCCCAGAAATAGCCACAATTGGCATGAAGCTCTGTATTGAGAGCCCCTTTTCTGGCGGGCAATGCTGGCGTTAGTTCATTGTTGACAGATATTATTGTTGAATAGTCAGAGTAAATTGATAATATTTAAGGTATTTGATGATATGAAAGGATTGAGTTGATTAACAGGTGACTAACTTCGCCGAAAGCATTCTTGAGGTTTAGCAGTGCGACGATTACTGTTCTTTGGTGTTTTTTTGCATCCTTTATCAGGTGGGTCAACGTTTGTGAATGCTCCAATAAACCGTCCACCTTCGGGTAGAAACATTTTTGAATATTGGTGTTGATGAATTTATTTTGTTGTAGAAAATTGTAAAGTCTATTTTTTATTAGAGTTGAAAATATTTTGTAGCCGGTTGGTTGAAGGGTTATAGAACGAAAATTAGCCGGGTCTTTGGGATTCCCTTTTTTGTATATTAAAATTGTTAAAGCTTTTCTCCAACAATTTGGTATCGTAGATGAGGCCCAACATTTTAACGGTAACTTATAGAGAAAGGTTCTAAGAATTGGACATCTTTTGAAAACTATTATCGATATTCGATCCAATGGACACGGAGAGGCGCGAGATTTACTTCCACAATGTTTGAAACTGTTTCGTATGTTTGAGGACCGACATCACTTCCGTATAAGGGCAACGGCAAAGACGGGATCCAGTCCGGAATGTTGTAATAACATTTATCATCGGCTTCCATTGTGCTGTAGAAGAAATTGCTTTCTTTTTCAACATCGAATGATGGAGGTGTTGTGGTGAGCGAGAAAATTTTTTTGCATGCTTTCCAAAAGTTTTTTGATAGTTGAATTGAAACGTCGGATTTACCTTGACGCCTCGAGTAATGAAGCTTAGACCTTATCAATTTGCTGACTGCAATTATTTCATTGTTGAACGAATTATTGTTGCGTCCAAGGATTTTCAAGTTTTTCAATTTCTTCTTGAGTTGTTTAATGACGCAATTTTGATTTGTTGATGTTTTGGGTTTAACTGTTCCAAACGTATTATCGAAGTAGTTAGGTAAAAGGGTTAAAATTTTACGCATACAGTAAGTCCACAAATTTCTGATGAAAATATGCGTTAGCTTCAGCCCATTGGCTTTGCGTTTTTGGCAGTTTAATACCCGGGAGTGGGTTTGGAGTTGCTGAGGAAGTAGTTGTGTGTTGAAACTGCTGAAGCTCGTTCTCTGATTTATTTATTTCGACGTCCGGGACGGTTGTTTTCAGCGATTTGAACATTTTGCAAGTTCGACGGTGCATTAGTAATCCCTTTCTACCTTTGCAGTATTTACCACATTCACAACGCAACATATTATCAAAATTATTTTTATTATTATTAATTATGTTGTTATTATCTGTTAAAATGATAGAAGAAATTTTAATATTTTCTTTCATAGAAACCTTCAATCTAGTAGATTCGTACATAGTATTTTTCGTACAGCGCCAGGAGTGTCTATTCACGAATTTAAAATTATTGAAACAATAAGGACATTTTGTCGCATTTACATTATTTAAAATTTTAAAAACTAAAATTAGGAAAATAATTAATTTAAAATTTAATTGTTTATTTAAACCCATATTCAAATACAATGCCATTATGCTCGCAATTTCACTAACACTACCAACCAAAATTAAAATATATTAAAACTTTTAAAATCAAGTTATTGCAATAAAAGCAACGTTAAAACGGCTCTCGTGTTTCAATACAAGCGCAATAACAATAATAATAGTCTTTACTAACAGTAATAATAACATTAACAATAGTGTCAATGATAATAATAATAATGGGAACAGATCTTTTATTTTTCATCAAATGCTTAAAATCAATAATTAATAAATTAATTAATAGAGAAATAGTCATGATTAAAATAAAATCATAATCATCATAGTTAGCGATGATAAGATAGTTATGAAATAAGTACAGCGATGATAAGATAGTTATGAAAATTGATTCACGCATTGTTCCGATCACAATATATGGCATATGATAAATATGATAGAATTTAAAAATAGATTATATGATTATATAATAATAGTAATAATAATAATCATAGTAACGATGATATAATCATATCTAACTCTATCGATAATTTTCTGCAGCAATATTTTGATAAATTTTATAAAATCATGAGCTCAACTTACAACATCAAACGTCACGATCAGATCATCAGACCCTCCATTGATCAGCCCATTCATCAAATATCTACTTTGCCAAAAAAATAAATTCATGAGATCAGGATCCATCCTCAAAGATCACCAAATACATCAACACACTTATCACCAACTTCAACTCAAAAACCTACACTAACTGTAATCGTGGAAGCAAAGCCATATGGGATCAACAAGATCAGAAACTCGGACAAATCATTCAACATGTCAACCTCACATCAAATTGATGCCAACACACTCAAAACCCACTTTGCTTTCATGTCAACCGGCCCGTCCTACAAAACTCTACCAACAAAAGCAACAACAATCAATAGTCATCATCAACATCAACAATTTACCCCACTTTCCGTCCTGCACATGCTAATGAAGGTCTGCCCATCCGGTACAGGTCCAGACAGTCTACCAGCATAGTTTCTACAAATCATCGCACCATTCATCTTTAGCATATTAAGTTCGTTCTATAATCACTGATTGATGCATTTATTCATCCCATCACAATGGAAATCTAGCAAAATGCATCCAATTCTTAAAACAAAACACCCATCAACACCAATAAGTTATCGCCCAATATCTATCACCCCCATACTTTCACGTATTCTTGAAAAATTCATCGTTAGGTCATTCATCTATCCATGTTTCAACCATCCATCTATCAAACCACTATTACAAGATCAGCTTGCATTTCGTCCTACAGGTTCATCAACATACGCTATCATCTCTCTTACTTCTACAATCTTTCCTTAAAAATAATAATTATGTTCATTTTATTGTTCTCGACTTTTCTAAAGCTTTTAACATTCTCAATCACTTCTCACTTTCAAATAAGTTAGCCTCTCTTCCTCTACCTGACAACATTTATAATATTATAATAAATTTTCTTTCTAATAGGAGTCATTTTACATTTTTTAGCTCTACTCTTTCATCTACTTTACCTATTAATTCTAGCGTAGTTCAAGGTTCTGTCCTTGGACCACCTACCTTTATTATCAATGCTTCTACTCTCAAAACTTTTCATAGCTCTAATCAAATCATCAAATACGCCGACGACACCTACCTTATCATCCCATCATCTAACACAAACACCATCCAATCAGAACTCGACTCACTAACTACATGGTCAAAACGATGCAATCTGTCACTTAATCTCAATAAATCATTCAAACTCATCATTCACAAAAGCCGTAAGAAAATAACATTATCTCCAGAACACCCACCACTCGCACAAATCAATTAAAAATATTAGGCATCACATTCACTTCCACACTTAATGCAGCACCTCATATCAATCACATCATCACAAAAGGTTAACAAACATTTCACGCACTCAAAAAACTCTGCTCACATGGTCTCAGAGGCATCAAATTATTCGACATCACCGAATCAATTATCATCTCACACATCAAATATGTAGCTCCCTCCTGGTCTGGTTTTGCTACACAACCACAACTTCAGCAACTACAATCTCTCAACAAAAAACTAATTCGCCTAACTATCTACCTGCATCATATCCTACCATCACCCAAATATTCAACACACTCGATTCAAGACTGTTCAAGAAAGTAGGAAAGAACAACAACCACGTTATCCATCCTCTAATACCAGCAATCAAAACTACTACGCACAATCTTCGTCGACGCAAGCATAACTATCAAGTCGCCACTCAACCGGCATATCAGAAAAAGATTTTCATCACAAGACACCTCAAACATATTAGCACTCAATAAAACTATCATTTACACAATCTAGTTTTCTTTTTACTTATCAATGACCTCACTAACTCACTATCATTATCTAGTCATTATCTAGTCCATTAGCAAATTACTTTATTAATTTTTTTTATACCATTACTTTGTTTTATTTTATTATTTTATTTTCAATACTTTTCATGTTTTAAACATTTTTCTTTCTACGTTTTTTATTAATTTTTTTCGTTACCATTTTATATTATAATATTACCTTGCATGCTGTAACCGTTTCAGCGTATGTCAGATCCTGATTTTTTAAAGAATAATAAAAAAAATTCTTGTTTTTGAGAGACAATGCCTTCATCATAGAGGTTGAGGTCAACACTAAAAAGTGTGTGCTGTGTGCGAGCGACACTTTTGAAATACCTCAAACAGTAGTCGATGTGCCCTATGTGCCACAGTTATCGTTAAGTTTTTTCAGCACCTCTTGATAGAGAGTGAGTTTCAAAACAATTTTTTCAATAAAAAACCGTAGAGTTAAAACTCGCTCTCGACTGTGTGTCTCATCTTCGGTCCACAACGCGCTGACCATCGTCCGCAGCGCCCTCAGCTTTCCCAAGATGATGTACTTTCTACGTACATCCATTTCTGTTAATGTCTCTATTTTTGGCGACTGATGGCGTACTAAGGTAAACTTTGTCGGCTATCTGCAATGTTGAGCTGTTCGACAGGGGCTGGTCTCAGGTTTAGCTGCCGGTCAGGTTTGGGGGACTGGGGGGGGGTTGTTGAGCGTGGTTCAGCTAGCACCTATTGTTTACAAATCATCTGCTGTCACGACGCTAGACCTACAGTCAAATTCCCACGATGTTTGGTACCCTACCGAGTTCATCCAATCGAACCATATTTTTTCAAGTTTAAACACTAGAAGAGGCACACAGTCTCCTTTCAATACTTGCTGTCTACCAGTCCCGACGATGCTACTTCGGCTAATCTGCTTTTAATATCTGGTGACGCGAGCTGTGGTTGGCTAAGATCATGGTCCAACTCATCGGTGGGTACTCGACTGGATGATGAGACGGTTTGGATGGCGATTGGTTTTTGTCTAGGTTTAACATTTTATAAAAAAATATGTGTGCAAATGCGATGCGGAGGCCAACGAACTCGGTCACCACGGTCTGGTCTGTCGTTTCGGTGGTGGCCTTCAGCTACACTATTCCGCATTAAACGATTACATCTGCCGGCTCTTCTCCAAGGCGTTCTTAAAGAGCCGTCGCGGATTTCCGCGCACGATAGTAAGCGCCCCGACGGTTGTACACTGATCCCTTGGAGGGCTGGTAGATATTTGGCATATGACGTTACAGTTCCGGGCATTTTAGCGAAACGCTATGTGCACCTAACCAGCAAGGAAAGTGGTTTGGTCGCAACCAAAACATCAGATGAAAAGATTAAAAATAGGATGGTGCTCTGCCCTCGTTAGATTTTTTGCCCGTTTGCATCGAGGTCCTTGGCCCGATAATCAACAACACTAATAAATTTTTTAAAAACATCTGCAAAATGTTAAGTGTTAGGTCAGGCGATAGCAAAGAATTATTTTTTGCTATGAATCACATTTCTTTTTTGCTACAACGTTCGTGTTTGTGTTGCCAAAAATATTCAATTAAACGCCGACGTGAGAGAGAGGCGAGGTTCAATTTTTAATCAAGTTTTATTTTGGACGTTAGGATGTTTAATGTCACTCATGATTTGGTTTTAACATACATGCACACATACATACATACAAATATCAATTTTTGTATAATATAGATTGTATATATATAATAATTGTTATTACAAAAATAGATAATAATATGAAACAGGGACAATATAAATTAACGATTTTTTGATTACACGTCCTAGATTACATACTGTTGAAAATGTTCAAAGTTTTTAAACGCATTATACATGTAAAAACATCGTCTTGATGCTGAAAATGAGTAGTTTCATAATTTGTATTGGGAATACAAAATTTAATATAAACTCTTGTAATAATAATAAATTTTTTTATGCTATATTAACTCAACAGAATATGGAAAACAGATGCGCATGGACTATTATATTCAGCTTTTCATCCATCATTTGTTTATGCTGCAAAGTTTCAACCAAAAAATAATCAATATTTTATATCAGCCAGCTATGATAAGCTTATCAGAATTTGGCGCGTTGAAAGCTTCATCAGCGAATCGTATCAAGTAATAAAAATTTTTGATATCAGTATAATTGGGATTATTAATGAAATAAAGTAATAAAAATATAATTGTAACTATTAATGAAATCATTAAGAAAATATTTTAATAATGTTTATAACACGTAATTTTATTATTATTATCCCATCAACTTACATGAGAA